GTGCGTATTGTGGGCTACGAATATTGTAGTTGATGCTCACTAGTCACTACCTTTAATGAGTATCGCAATACAAGTACAAATTTAGTACCAAAACAGAACGTCGTTTATAGTACGAGTAGAAAAACTTCCTCTATGCTATTCTGGTAGGGGAGCGTACCCATTACACCAATCGCGTTTCCCCGTTGTATCTGCATAGATGCTAGCTGCTTAAAAAAGATGTATAATTGGTTCAATATTGCAATTACTCCGCTTCGCGTAAAGCAAGAGCGCACTGAAGTTCTGAACATTAGTGGCCTCAAGTTACGCAATACGGATCGAGTATGCTGCAAAAAGCCAAAGGCTATGAAAATAACTGCATGCCAGCTTTTGTCGACCGAAGCGTAGCGAAGGTCATCTATGGTCAGCGAATATGGAAAATGTGGTGTCCGTCCGTCGGTCACCGCCACCAAATGCACATGTGCGCAGTTACCGTTTCTTTCCAATGCACACATGCGCCGTGGCCGTATATACTCCCGTCCTATGTAACTGGTGGTATCCGTCCGTCGGTCACCGCATATGAAAGAGAACAGACATAGTGGCCGTTTATACTCACGTTACATATAATTTGTAGTATCTGTGCATCGGTCACCGCCACCAAATGCACATATGGACAGTAGTATTTGTTACTGGATACACACCAGCTCCGTGGCCGTTTATACTAACGCCGCATGGAATTGGTGGTATCATCCGTCGGTAACCGCACACAAAACGGAAAGGGCCCGGTGGCCGTTTATACACTCACGGCTTGTAACAGCCTTGGTGTTATTTCTTTAGTTCCAGTCCCCTTTGCTTCCGGTGCGTTATTTACTAACTGTAAGCAGATGCAGATGCAGATTATCCTTATGCAGATGCAGTTTTTTTCCCAAAAATACTTTAGAATACTTGAGCCGCTCGATGATAAAGCACTACCATGTACGGAAAAAAGTCACACGAAGCTCCATGTGCGATGTCTGTAGTGTGTTGCGTGTGCGGCGAAATAAAAAAGACCAAAATTACACCCGTTGCCATTTCTGTGATAGATAACATTTAAAAAGTGTTGTCTAACAGTGCCTCTACGTAATACCGGCACAGCCCAGCCATCTTCGGGCTCTGTACAACGTCTGTCGTAATGTGTCCCAAATATGCTGTCCTCTAGGTTTTCTGAAATTTTTGACTGTGACCGGTAGAAATGACCATCAAAAACTCTTACCAGACTTTTATTGCCCCCTCACCTGACCATCGTGGAAGAGACAACCTTCGGCAAGAACGATGCATGAGTTTTACACCGAAATCGTAATTTCTGAAGTACAATTGCCGTAATCTATTACCTTTACATATAAACACCTAAACTGCCGCCAGCGATGACAGTGTATCACCAAGGCAAAACAAAATATTCATCGAAAAATAATTCTTATAATAGGAAAATTACTTAGATTGATTGAATCAGAATGAATTCTGCTAAATTGAAACATTATTGAGAAGTTGCCACGTGTGTGTTGCTTTAGGGAACTTAATAACTTTCTGAGATTCGAAATTTGATTCCAGCATGAAGAACTTTATTTGCACAGCCAAAGAAACTGTCCGGGAAAGATTTACGCAGCTGTAGGAGCAACGAAATATTCGTATTTGTCTGGGCGGTTTTACCGGTTATGGATTTTTGCTGTACTTTTTTGTTATACCGGTTATTGGCTTTTGCTGTGACATCCATTTTACTAATTTGCGGCAGCTCTGAAGAAGATAAAGTACTGTAAACGAGTTTTAAATATGCTAACAGTTGTAAACGTCGTATAATGCAATGGCACCGGAAACGACCTAAATATAAATCTATCTTTTATTCCTTATGTGAGTTATGTCTATCTTATATTACTGCTACGCTTCGGTCATTTAGTGCCCGCCAAAAGCGAGTGCACTTTCCTAGTTATCCCTTGAACACATATGTACTGAATGAGTACAAAGTGCTTCCGCATGCGGCATGCGTACCCTGCCATACTGGTATCAGTGGTCGGCCAGAAATACAAATTGAGAGGATTGCTTAGTACAAGCATTATCAGTAATAATTATTATTATTAGGTACGTACTGAAAGTACAAGTTATCGCTTGCGGCGGATTAATGGTGCTGGCAGCACTGTTCATATCCGGCTGCAGGGTACAGAGTCTGTACAGTGCTACAGCGTGGTACAGCGCAAATCCGGAGGTAAATTTCGGGCACATGCACGTAACACTTCCAGATCTGGTACCCCGCAGATGTTACACTGTACCTAATGCATCAGGGGCCGGATCATAACTAAGGCTTAGTAAGAGATACAGGGACGAGAAAAACCGGAAATAAAAGTCACGCTTCAGTCCGGATAAACGCATCACAAAAGGCCAAAAAAGTATTGGGAATAGGTATCTGATTTACGAAACCTCATAAGCTATCAATATTTCGATTTTGTTTCCCTTGAACAGTATCGAAATTGCTCTTTAGTTATGGCCTTATGGGATATGATTGAGTAAAGTTACTGTTCAATTTACTTTGTGAAAGCCGTTTTCAGCTATTTCAACTGGAAACGTTAGTTGCACGTGCCTGGAACGTTGCTCGCTTTGGAATAATTATATGTTCGCGTTAGAAACAACCAGTAGGAGGGCGTGACGGAAACCACGCGTTTTGGGCTGCTTGGCAACGCATTAATTTGATCAGGACAAGCTAGTACGGCATGCATACCATAATTAGTAATTACCATTAAGCGGCAAATTACTTACTTGATGATCATGACTAATGCCTTCTTTCCATAATCCATTAACCTGTAACCAGTTAAATACTGTTCAAGAACTTCCGATAAACGGTGTGATATGGGTTTATCATAAACCCATATCACACCATGGGAAAGATGAAAAACCGGCGTGGCCGTGATATTTATAGAATTGTTCTACTGAAAATCCTGTCAACTATACCACTGTGCACTGTGGAAGGTTGCACTGTGGTTAAGAAGGGCAATGTCGGACGCGACTCCGCGGGCACGTCGATTGCTGGGGGCCATTTGTGTTGGTGTGGTGCACACTCATAGTTAAGGATTCTCGTGCTTTTAATACTGTGGAGAGATTGCCTTGTAATTACTGTACTGAGCATAATTAATTGTGTAAGTATGTGCTTGGCAACCGGTGTAATCACTGTAGTGTATGTACTTGTACGTACGCAGTTGCGTTGCTGTTGTTCAGCCTGCCACAGTGCAGCTCTTAAGCTGCGAATAAAAGTACGTACAACTATCTATAAAATAATATTAGCGCGCTCAGGAAATACGCGACAGTTGGGCTACACCGGTGACCGGACACGTACTCGCTCCAAGTGTAGGCCTACCCATGGCCCCCAAAAATCACGCTCAGTATGCTTAAAATTATTAAGGAATCAGTGGAATGTGAACCATGTTATTGTCATCAATAATGTACTGGTACGTTCGAGAATTTGTCCAGCATGACAAAGGTCTAAATTAATTTTTTTCAGCATCTTTCTCATCACGATGTTAGTTTTATAGATGGACTGTGGAGTCGGCATTGCGTGCGATGAATTAAACAACTGAATCAGAAAATACTTCAATTGACCAAGATAACACTGACTGCAAGCGCCGGCACACTACTTAATATTTACAATTTGAACACTAAAAAAAACAACCAAAATCTCTGTCTTCTCTTGGGTTAAAAAGTACTTATTGTGATCAGGATAGCCATGCCATTTCCTTTTGCAATGGCAATACTAAAACTCTGCTTAAGAAAAGCAGCAGAACGCGCTTTTCCAGTCTCCAGTCAAGTCTCGAATTTCACGGCCCATAAAATGCAACAGTTCACCTAGAGCGAGGCCAAATACTCCCAGCGTGTCAACTCTCAACCACTAAAGGATAAAAAAAGAGATCCGTTTTCCAGAAACAAATATGTCCGGCATTTGGAACTGTCCGCTAGCTAAGCCATGCTTCCAGGTTTCCTCGAGCTGCCAGTCGCATGAGTCTGCGACTGTACACCAACTGGTTACATCCCACTTCAGCGGTTTTCCTTGGCGAACAAGCATCACCGTCATCCTTTCGGGCCTTTTTCCGTCCTTACGTGATAATCCATTCGGTTCTACTTGGCAAGGATCTTAAGGGAAATGGCCCGGTACATAGCGTCAAGAATGGGATACCTACACAAAAACTTTCGCTTTCGCGCAATACGAATCCCTTTTTTGTAATACTTTATGTCATTTTAAAGCTAAATGATTTGTATACATTGTTCTGAAAACCGTTTGCGCGCGCAACATCCGGTTGCCGAGATATGGCGTACTAAAATGGGCGAAAAGTTTAAATGCATTGTTGTGTACCAAATGTCTGGTTATTACCCGATCTTCTTGAAACTTTGCAATAAAAGACACATGGTTATAAGGTGGAAAGTGAACCGATATCAGATCCATAGCATGTTTTTCCGATTTTAAAATAAATTTTAAAATTTTCGAAATTAATTTTAAACTCGGGAAAAAGTCCTATTATGCTGATATTGGTTCACTTTAGACATTATAACCATGTGTCTTTTATTGCAAAGTTTCAAGAAGATCCGGTAATAACCAGACTTTTGGTACAACTACACAACAATGCATTTAAACTTTTCGCCCATTTTAGCACGTCATATCTCGGCAACCGGATGTTGCGCGCGCACACGGGTTTCAGAACAATGTGCGCAAATGATTTAGCTTTAAAAATGACATAAGTATTACAAAACAGTGATTCGGATTGCGCGAAAGCTTCAGTTTTAGTGTATGTATCCCATTCTTGACGCAATGTACCGGGCCATTTCCCTTAAACTTGTACTAACAATCCCTGTCATTCAAGGCTCATTTTTAGTACTTTCATTAGTTACATTGAAGGAAACCGAAGGAAGGAAACCGGAGGAAGGAAGGCACCGAAGGTAAAAGCTCCATGCTAACAAAAGTCGGGCATCAGGGGCGGTTGCCGCGGCGACTGAGACCATCCCTGGCACACCGTCCCCAAGGAGCGCTGACGTACGATTTTTTGATAGCATGCACGCCTGACGCGCATTTTCTCCACTTTTTGGGCTTTCTCCATTCTCGGATGTAAACATGTATCTGTACGTAACAAAATACAAAAATTATATTCTAGTATTACTTTTACGCTTAGCCGGCTTAGCGATTCCTGTTCCTGGCGTTATCTGCTTCTGTGAACTGCTGAGCTTGACTGCCAATGCAACATCTTGCTTTTCAACTTACCAGGCATTCTCGGGTCTGTACGAGTTGTTTTGGCATTTGTCATGGAGAAACAACTTGAACGGGACAATACGAGTATCATAAATTCATTAATTTGCAGTGTGGAGTCTGTCGTTAGGGCTGGCCGTACGTTGGACACTGATTCTGGCTTGGACTGCGGATTACGAATTTACCTGAAGGTGGGTTTGTTTTTCCTAAGTGTACGTGTTGAACTGTGCTACATCATAAGTAGAGCCAGGTGTGATGATATGTGGGGGATAATCATAAGTATAGCCAGGTGAGATAATAATTATGTGTGCGTTCAGAGACCACATTAACGGGCAGCGATGTTGTCGGCGTGCAGCGCGGCCGCCCGCGGGGCTGGGACACGCAGCAGGGCCATTGCGAATGGACTGAGCAGAATCACGGCCTACAGCAGCCACCTTGACCGTTGCTGCACCGCTGCCCACAGGTATGACAACTGCTGCGTTTATCATGCTACTTCTGCGTCATGGGGAATTTTGTTGACTAAATTTGCATTATTCTGCATTTTTCAAGATTATGTACGTAGCAATTTAACGCAAAAATGAACAAAGTTTCGCATTGTTAATTATTTGTATTCCAGCAGCGTAAGAATCTACATCATCGGCGATTTTATTGCGCCATCATGATGTGCTATGGGCATACCTATATCTGTATAAAATTAATAATTATTTAGAGTACAAGACTACTGGTACCTACAAGCCGATCTGAAAAGTCAACAGGTTAATTGCATAATTAGCGCAGTGTTTGGACTTAGGAGAGGACTACTGTGCACTACAGTTATTATTACAGCAATTTACCGCCTACATTATTCGGGAAGTTATGAAAAACTAACAAAGATAAATGTTTACAAATGCGGCAATACGAATATTATGTACGTTTATAATGATATTATTTCTTATAGCGACATTTAGCTTAGAACAGCTGTTGCCCAATGGTCAATGCAATGTGGCGTGGCGCGCCGCAGCGTGCACTGGGCAGTTTGGCGTAAGCCATGAATTTCCATGTTTCGTTGCATGCATCCGTGTTAATTTTCTGGATCAGCTTGTACGTACAGTAGAGTAAGCCATGGCTGTGCACAGTGCACCACGCCACCGTCGACTCGTAGCGCACGGTAACTAACTCAAAACAATTGCTGGCTGGTAGGCGTGTAGCCGTCCCCGGCCAATCGGGACGCCTGTTTCGCCACTGGACGACCGTGGGCACTATCAGCCATCAGCCCTTTAGCAGGCCCGCTTCCCGTACTGTCGGCGGCGTGCGCTGTGTGTCCGGCCCATCCGCTCCGGACGCTCTCACTATCCCGCCGATTAACCCCTCCAGTGTCATGCAGGTATAGTGTGTTCAGTCATTCGATGTAGAAGTATGCATAGTAGACAGCTGGTTTCCCCGGGGACACTGATTCGTGGATCGCATGGGTCAAAAAGCATTTCGACCTACAGTGTGTGGAGTGCAGTCAGTTGGCATCCGGTAGGCGTAAAGAATCGTGTCTGTTGTAGGAGGTGGGTCAACTGAAAGCCAAACTGGGCAGTCTGGACCGGCAACCAATAGCAGGTGGGTTGGGGTGGCTGCCGTTATGTTAAACTTAGCTAGCGCTGCAATTTAATTATTTTGCGCCGTTTTTTGTGATGGAATTTCTAAAATGGCCAATTGATGCCTATAATTCGTATCCGGAAATATGCGGTTTTGTGCTTAAAATGGTTAAAAGTCGACGATTTCTCGTTCCTCCTCAACGTTCTCTAGTTGCCAGTTAACTCACCATTAGATTCCGCGGGTTTTCTTTGCTTGAAATTATTTTCAGCCCAACTTGCACTGAACTGAAAAATTAACGCACTTCAGCATATCAGAAAATCAGAAAGGCACAACGCACTTCAGCATATCCAAAAATTATGTAATCCGTTCGAAGACGTGAAGGCCCGTTTGTTCCGTTTATGGAATAGGTTGGCTGGCCACATCAGTCGATGAGATGGACGACACCGTGATCGCTCTGTCAAGGGCAGTGCAATGCGGTGACCACCGTCAAGTGCACCTCATGCTGTGCAAGCTGTCCTATCGCTCCCGCGAGCTGTCACGCCGCGACCTGATGCAGGCGGCGACGGTGTGTCTGCTCATCCTGTTCGACTACCGGTGCCGCGTCAAGGTCCTGTGGGCCAGCGGGACCGCGCCGGGAGACTTGGCGCCAGGAGCGCTGGAGGCGCTGCAGAATCGTCGATACGACGATACCGACCTCGCGCTGGACTTGGCTCGTTATCTAGCGTATATCCTGTCGGACATGTTTCCCCCGCCGTTGCGGAGGGAGGTGAAGCATCTGCTGATGCCGCTCGTGGGCCGCATGTACTGGCCGGTGCCCGAGGGCCAGAGCGTCACGGTGCAGGTGGGTGTTAGGCCGTCATGCATTGAAGGGAAATGGCCCGGTACATTACTTCAAAAATAGGATACACACAGTGACACGCTAAAACTTTTGCTTTCGCTCACTCCGAACCACATTTTTGTTATACTTTATGTTTTGTTCTGAAAACCGCTTGCACGCGCAACATCCGATCATCGCTAAGATATGGCATATTAAAAAGGGTGAAAAGTTTAAATGCATTGTTGTGTACCAAAAGTCTGGTTGTTATCCGATCTTCTTGGAACTTTGCTATAAAAGACATCTGGCCATAAAGTCGAAAGTGAACCATTATCACATCCATTCAATTTTTTCCCGATTTTAAAATGAATTTCGAAAGTTTTAAAGTTTATTTTAAAATTATGGGACTATGCTATAAACCTGAAATTGGTTCACTTTCGACTTTATGGCCATGTGCCTTTTGCAGCAAAGTTTCAAGAAGATCGGGTAATAACCCGACTTTTAGTACACAACAATGCATTCGAACTTGAAACTTTTCACCCATTTTAGTACGCCATTTCTCGTCTAGCGGATGATGCGGGCGGAAACGGTTTTCAGAACAATGTATATAAGTTACTCAGCTTAAGAATGATGTAAAGTATTACGAAAAAGTAGTTCGTAATGCGCGAAAGCGAAAGTTTTAGTGTATGTATCCCATTTTTGACGCTATGTACCGGGCCATTTTCCTTTAACTGATCCCCTGTGAGGTTGTGGTATCTGCTGCTGCTTCCTGGTCGCATATGTTAGTCTTCAAGATTAAGCCAGGCCTTTCTCAGTACTTGCTATGTACTACAACTGCTTGAGTACTTTCTTGTAGTCACAAGTTATCAACTTCCTGTCGATGGCGGATTTAATGATGCTAGCGGCGGTTTATCTTCTTGCCGGTTTCGTAACAGATATTGAATCTGTGGGTCAGTGTCACATGTGTATAGTTCCGTAATACGTCTCAAGACGGATCGTTCTGAGTTTACTGTCTGCAACAGGATCACCGCACCCGCAGTCGCGCATCGCGTAACGCGTAACGCAGGAATAACCGATGGGGCCATGGCCCATGGAGCTGTTTGTGAACTTAGGCGTTCTCGCTTACAGTTTTCACGGGTTTTTGAAATAAGCTTGCATGAGTACAATGCAATATGGGTTACTTCCCTTTCCGGCGACAGTTAAAGCCCGACGAAAAATTGCATAGTATGGAACATTAGGAGGAAGGATCGCTTCATCACTGTATCAATATGTGTCCATCGCTAAGCGGCAGAATTCCGTCTGCCGCTATGCCCTTAACAATCTGCTGGAAAAACGTTTGTGAGCGCGACATCCGGTTGGGGAGTTTTGGGTGGAATAAAATCCAGAAACGTTTGAATGCATTCCAGTGTGCCCAACCTCATTATGGATCGATCGCCTTGCCAATTTTGCTGTTACACGCACAGAAAAATGAAGATCGCTCTGACATCCAACCATAGTTCTTCGTTTTTTTTTATATTTTAAAACTAATTTTGATGTTTTCGTGTGTTTGCCCATTTTAGCACGTCATATCTCGGCAAACGGATGTTACGCGCACAAACGGTTTTCAATGTATACAAATCATTTAGCTTTAGAATGACATAAAGTAATACAAAAAAATGATTCAGAGTGCGCGAAAGGGAAAGTTTTAGTTTATGTATCCCATTTTTGACACCATGTACCGGGCCATTTTCCTTAAATAGCACTGCAGGTGGCGAATTCTTGTGTCAGACAGTCTAGCGGCACGAGAGTTCTGCTCCAGTGATCCGTCGTGGTGACACGTACATCGGCATACGTACTGTATTTTCATTAGCGCGCAATTCTATCGACAGAAGTCAGCCCATTGCCCGGCCTTATCCACGAACTGAACGCGGTGGCGGCGCTGACCAGCACTAACCGGTTCCCTTCCCATGTATACTTCGCCCTTGGCCGGCACAGCGACTATCCGGCCTCCGACTGGGCATACTACACCGCCAAGTACCGCGGATCCTGCCGTCTCATGGTGCACTGCCACTGGGTGTACGCGGTGGCCCGGCTGGGCAGTCCCGTCCACAGCGGTGCGGCCGCGGCGCTGTCGGGGGCCTTGGCGTGCGTCGACGGTGCTGTTCCCCTGCTTTCCGGGGCGCTGGACGTGGCCGACCGTCTGGGCGACGGCACCGTGTATCCGCTGCGGAGCGAACTACATTTGCGCTTCCTGTCCGCCATGGCCACGCCCGTCGTCTGCCGCGTATCGTACCGCCACGAATCGCTCCTCCAGCAGTTGATGCAAGCCTCCGATATCCTCGGACCCACTACCAGCGTCCAGTACTGCATCGCCGTCAATGTCAGCCCGCGGGACGGCGACGACGAGCCCTTCTGGGCCACGCTGTACCTGTTTCGCCGCGTCGCCTCTCCGCGCGCCACGCCGCCCGAGGAGACGGCGCGGACCAGTACGGTCGCGGGGACCGAAAGGTCACGGGGCCTGGAGGTCGACGGAGTCCCGCTGTGCAGTGCCGACGTGGCCGCTATGTCGCGGGAGGATTTGCGACGCGTCTTCGACATGGATCTGGTTGTGCAGCACCACGCCGACGCCAGTAATTACACGCAGCCGTTGCAGTTGCCGCTGGAGCTGCAGTACCCGGATGGGTCGTCGCGACCGTTCGCGGTGGATTTAGATAATTTTTTCCAGCTATTGCAGCGCGACTGGGAAGCAGCAGCGGAACTGCGACAGCAGTCGGTTAATTCCAGGCTGATAGAGAGAGACAGTGACATCCGGACTTGAGCCTGGGACGTGTTGTGCTGCATTTGTTAATGTTCGTGCTATTGTTTTTTGCCGACGTGCAGTGACTAGACTAGCACATTTGGGTCTGCATTGATCAGGATATGCAGTATGCACGACCGCGCCGTCAAGGATTCAAGGGCGTGGCTACTCACTAGACAACCAATCAGTCAGCCGTCCTAAATGACAGTGACCTTTGCCTAAATATCTTGGTTTCTACCTGGACAATTTTCAAGGGCTTTTTCACTGCCCGAAAAATGAACGTCGGCAATAAGACGGATAACCTCACAAACACTGATACTCGTAGATTGTGCCTTAATCAGCAGCTGATGCATGTTTACCTTGACATGCTGTTATTGACTTTACAATAAACTGGTCCGTGGTTGCTATCCTCTTCTGGTGATAACTCCTGTTCCACAATATTCCACTACGAATAATATTAAATACAGCCCTGTTAAGCCAAGTTCGGACAGCTGAATAAGAGGAATTGCCACCATGGTAGCAAGATCGAAAATGAGATTTTCAAAATTCTACATTGTAATAAGAAGAGCTACATCTAATACTGGGCGGAAGTTGAGTAAAATCAGGTAGCAACGGAAAAAGTTATTCAAGCTTTTTCGCTGCCGACCAGGAGCGGTTTGGCGGGCTGGTGTATCTTCTACACTACTGCCACCTGTGGTCATTCTTTCTGAATATGATTTTTCTTCAGTCTGATCAAAGTTTGAAGTTTTCTGAAATTCCGGCGAATTGTTAATTTTACAGAGTGTACAGAGAAACATCGGGCGATGTTCATCAACTCGTAAACCAGTCTCAGTAGCCAACGCTGTAATAAACTGCCGTAGTGAACCGCAAACAGGGTTACGAGAATTTTAAATATTTACTGCCAGTGCCGAATACAATAAAATCGGAAAAACATGTTACGGATATGAAATTTGTTCACTTTCGACTTATGGCCATATGTGTGCTGCAGCACAGTTTCAAGAAGATCGAGTAACAACCAGACTTTTGGAACACCGCAATTGCATTTAAACTGTTCGCCCATTTTAGTACGCCATATCTCGGCAACCAGATGTTGCGCGCGTAAACGGTTTTCAGAACACTGTACACACATCATTTAGCTTTAGAATGATACAAAGTATTCCAAAAAAGTGATTCGGAGTGCGCGTAAGCGAAAGTTTTAGTGTATGTATCCCAATTTTTATGCTGTGTACCGGGCCATTTTCCCTAATTAGACTTGCTAGTCTTGATGCCCGGTTCTACAGGCCTGACACAGGGGACGCAACCACGCATACCACTATGATGAATTGTTTGGTAAGTCGTATGCCATCCAGGAGGTACCGGCAAACAACACAAAATATTATCATGCATCCGATGCCCAATTTTACACACCAAATCGTATCCGCATGACATGGCAGAGCAACTTGCCACCGCTGTTGCTGGTGCTGTCAAAGTGACTGTGGTGCGGTAGTCGGGGCAAAGAGTCACTAGTGCAGCGGCTGTGCGAAATGGGCGTGCCGACTGAGTGAACCATTCGCGGCTGCGAACATGGGTGCGCAGCCAGCAGTCCACGCGCGCTGACCGTCGTACTTCCAGATGAAGAGCGCCACTGGCCGCAGTCGACGCGGCCGCGGCACGTCATGGAGAAGCTTCCGTTCGGCGCGGACACGCTGCGCATCGGCGTGACGAAGACGTTCTGGGCGCGCAGTCTGGGCGGTTCCGCGGCCGCAGGTGATGCGTGCGCAGGGCGCCAAGGTCACCGTCGGGTCCGCAGGTCACCGTCGGCTCCGCGCCCTCCCACCGGAGTCGCGGCCGACGTTGTGGATAAAGAGTAGCTGGTGTTGGCCGCGGAGAAGCGGTAGTACTGGTGACCTTTGGGGGTAGACGGCATGTACTCCCCGCGGATGCATGGTGGCGTTCTGGTGGCGCCAGTCGATCCGTTGCGCCGCTTCCGACGTCTTGACGTCGCACCGGAATCCCGTCTCGCCTCCCACCGCGACGCGGACTGTATCGGGGGCCGGCTGTATAGTCGGCACGGTGGCGGCGGCGCCTTCCAGGGCGGACAGGTTGATGACGTTGTCCGGGATGACGTGTTCGGCCAGCTGCACCGCCCATGCTGCACGAACACGCTGGACTGCAATACCAGCGAAGATACAAGTCCTACGAGTGTTGCTCGCGTTGTTTCTTTTATTGGGTTATAGTTATACAAATGAGCATTGGTTGAACGCTTAATCACGTCGTTCATTATTTCAGCACATAATACACTTCATCCATCGCAGCCTTTTACCGATACAAAGCGTTTCCTGAACGCATGCAGCATTACCTACCCTAGTGATAGTAGTGATTCTCTTTTGCGTAATACTACTTCTGCATTAGTATTTTGGTTCGTACGCAGGAGCTGCCGGGAGAAAAGTCATGGCTCATGGCGTTGCAGAGCTTACGTATACCCGGGTTCGGACAGCCGAAAGGGCATCCGTGCACGGCATCAGCCAGCACACTGACCAGCGTCATCCGTGCGAGAATCCGGTAGCGCATGTTATTTTGTCCGCTTATCAATCGGCTGGTGAAGGGTTTATTGGCAATACACTATTTTATTGCAGATGAACGAAACAGGCTCATTCATTAGCGCATTAATTCTCTGCTGTTTACTTGCACGTGGCTAGCAGCTCCGTCAGCCTCCGTGGCTTTAAGAATACAAGGCCATCTTCGGTCTCGGGCCTCGGTTGGAAATTTTTACAATTAGGAGCAAGTACGAAATTTAATGAACAAAAAGAAATGTTATGATCGATCGTTTGCAGTGTACGCGAAACTGTACAGTAGTTGTTTGGACGTGTACTAATTTGTTAATTTTGAACACTATAAATTTTTATTAACTGCATATTCTATTAGAGCACTTACTTTAACAAATAATATAGATATTATAAACTTTTGTACGTATTGTGGGCTACCAATATTGTAGCTGATGCTCACTACCTTTAATGAGTATCGCAATACAAGTACAAACTTAGTACCAAAACAGAACGTCATTTACATTTTACAGCCGAAAAACTTGCTCTATGCTATCGTGATAGGGTAGCGTACCCATTACACAAATCGCGTTTCCCCGTTGTACGTATTTGAATAGATATATACTCGCTGCTTAAAAATGTAGTTGATTCAATATTGCAACTACTCCGCTTCGCGTAAAGCAAGAGCGCACTGAACATTAGTGGCCTCAAGTTACGCAATACGGAGTACGCTGCAAAAACCCAAAAAAGGTTACAAAAATAACTGCACGACAGCTTTTGTTTTTCCTTCACAACACATTAACTGAATGAGTACCACATGCACCCGCAGGCGGCATGTATACCCTGCCATACTGGTATCAGTGGTCGGCCAGCAACACAAATTAAGAGGATTACTTAGTACACGCATTATCACTAATAATTATCGTATTTGTGGGCTACGAATATTGTAGATGATGTTCACAAAACGTCATTTATAGTAGAAAAACTTCCTATATGCCTGGTATGGGATCGTACCCATTACACAAATCGCGTTTCCCGGTTGTATTTGCATAGATACTCGCTGCTTAAAAAATTATGTAGTTAATTCAATACTGCAACTACTCCGCTTCGCGTAGAGCAAGAGCGCACTGAACATTAGTGGCCTCAAGTTACGCAATACGGAGTACGCTGCACAAAGCCAAAAAAAGGTTGCTAAAATAACTACACAACACCTTTTGTTATTCCTTGAACACACATTTACTGAATGAGTACAAAGTTCATCGGCATGCGGCATGCATAACCCTGCCATACTGGTATCAGTGGTCGGCCAGAAATGCAAATTAAGAGGATTACTTAGTACAAGCACTATCAGTATTCAATAATAATTATTATTATGTTGAACGTACTTGAAAGTACAAGTTATCGCTGGCAGCGGATTATGGTGCTGGCAGCACTGTGCATACCCGGCTGCAGGGTACAGTGCTGCAGCGTGGTACAGCGCAAATCCGGAGGTAAATTTCGGGCACACACGTAACACTTCCAATTCTGGTACCCCGTACATGTTACGCTGTACTAGTACATAATGCATCAGAGGAATCATAACTAAACCTAGTAACAGATACAGGGACGAGAAAAACCGGAAACAAAAATCACGCTTCAGTCCAGATATTCGCATCACAAAAGCGCAAAAAAGTTGTGGGAATAGCTAACTGATTTACGAAACCTCATAAGCTATCAATATGGTATCTCGATTTTGTTTCCCTTGAACAGTATCAAAATTGCTCTTTGGTTATGGGAAATGATTGAGTAAAGTTACTGTGCAATTTACTTTGTGAAAGCTGTTTTCAGCTATTTCAACTGTAAACGTTAGTTGCACGTGCCTGGAACGTTCTCGCTTTGGAATAAATGTTCACGCTAGAAAGCAGCCGGCAGGAGGGCGTGACGGAAACCTTCAAACCCCGCGTTTTGGGCTGCTTGGCAACGCATTAATTTGACCAGGACAAGTGCGGTATACATATTAAGCGGCAAATTACTTACTGACTGACGCTTTTTTTCCATAATCCATTAACCTGCAACCAGTTAATACTGTTCAAGGATTTCCGATAAACCTATATCACACCATGGGAAAGATGAAAAACCGGCGAGGCCGCCATATTTATATTATTATTCTACTGAAAATCCTGTCAGCGAGACCGTCGTGCACCGTGCATGTTGGCACTGCGGTAAAGCAGTTAACAGAGAATGTCGGCCGCGACTCCGCTGGCATGGTCGATTGTTGGGGCCATCTGTTGGTATGGGCAAAGTTAAGGATTCTCGTGATGATACAAATGTGGAGAGATTGGATTGTAATTACTGTACTGTACCTAAGTAATTAAGCATGTAGTAAATTTGCAGCACTCCATAAGGATTGTACATAACCTACCGGTCATTTTCTAAGTGAAAAATGTGGAGCTCGCCATCAGGAACGTTTGAGCGTTTCTCAAATGAAGACACTTAGCAGTAGTAGCAGAGTCCACTGGGCGATGAAAGTTGACCAAAAGCGAACCAAGAAGATTTCGCGAAGGTCTTGCATGACTACCGGCGCAGATAGCTCCCGCATCAGAGAGACATTAGACTGACAAGACACAGGGTGTTTCGGGTATACTCATAGCTTTTTCTTGAGTTAACTCAAAAACCACTCACGCACACACAGAGGTTGGCAACGGAATCGAAACGATAGCATTTCCAGTACTGCCAGTCATACAGGAAGCCGGGTGTGTGGTGAATGGTAACTGCCAACTGGTGAGCCTGAAAGTGTTCGATCGCGGCTGGATTTTGAACGGCC